GGAACGGCCTTACATCGGAAACATCGTGGAAAGCGTCCTTCAGGGCCGACATAATTGGTGCAGGCTTGCCAGACTGGACTAACGAGGCCCCTTGCACAAGCTTCATGCCGCACGAACTTGGAGCGAACACTGCTTGTGCGCGTGTCTCCGTGTGTGTATAGTCCAGGACCGCTCAAGTTCATGAACTCGCTCTGTAGATATGAGAGAGAGAGAGAGAGAGAGTGAAGCAAGCAATGTAATGCTCTCAGCACTCCACAACGCAACTGTTCGGGAAAACTGCCAGGTCCTTGCTGACCAGCTTCGACTGTGCGGCAGGTGTCTGCTCAAACCCAGCAACCATGTTGGCAGCCGTGTTGGCGACCCACTCACCTGTACGGCCAAAATGAGCAAGATTCTGAAAGAGACCCGGAGTGGTGTCATGGTGGGGCCAGGCTTTGCTTCCGGGAAGCTGCCGCACGTGCAATCTGCCGGAGGGAGCGGCTTTGGCGGCCCGGCCGGCGGCAACAGCGACTTGTCGGGATACCTTTTGGCAGAAGGCGGAGCAACTGAGGCGAGCAGTCGCCTACATCGGCCTACACCCACGAAAGAAGTCTGTGTAGTCCAGGCACTTGGCGTATTGGCACGTGGGGTTGGTAGGGAAGTCGCTGTTGCAAGGCGGGTTCAGAAAGTGGTACCCCTCCAAGTGCAAGGCAGCCAGGACCGGGTCCTTGGTTTCGTGGACAACGTGCATACACCGGCTCGCCCTGACATGCGACTCTGCACTGCTTCTCCCAAGCTTCGAGGATCTCCCCCGTCTTCGTCACCTCAGTCCGGATAAAACACCTTGCATGGCATCTGCATAGCATCTGATCCCACGTCAGCCAATCTCGCTGCAGTCGAGCTGCTGCGTCAACGATCTTCTGTTGCGCTTCCTGCTTGATCGACCCAGAGCCGAACAAAGAAGTGAAGTAGTCGGAGACGACTTGGCCAATCATTGCATGTCCAGCTTCGACAGACACCTGGCGAAAAGTCTGGCAAACGAAGCGGCACGAGATCGCTAGGGCCACTGGGATCCGGGTTATGATATTCCAGCCACAACAACCCTCCTCAAGGCAGAGGTGCCGAAGTTGTGGCCTTGTTTGCTTTGTTTTGCGACCCTTTCGAGCTCTGCAGACTGGCCTGTTGCGCACTTGCGTGAGCTAGACCCTGCAACCTTCGGGAATCATCACCGGAACAAACTACAAAGATCTGCAAAGGCCACATCATGTTCTCACGCTATCGCATCATCAAAACAATGGGCAGCACCAACACAGAATCATCACCACTGTCAACACCATCATCCACCATTACTACAATCACCATCACCAACATCATCAGCAGCCGCAGCCGCAGCCGCAGCCGCAGCAGCAACAGCATCGGCATGGCCGTCCTCGTCATCACAGCTACCACCAATATGAGCTCGAATACATATTCCTCTCCGACACAGCATGATGCTGCATCTGCAGCATTGTTGGTCACCAAAGACAACAACTAGGACGATACTGCCGGGACCACAAGACTCCCCAAACTGCACGAACCAAACCTCGGCTCGGATATCGTTCTTCCTGACGTTGGATGGGAGGTCGCCCGAGCTGAAGCTCCAATGGTTCAAGCCTGCCATGCGAGGCCGTCGATGTGATCATTGCAGAGGGGCTTGCTCCCTGTCTCTCTCTCCCAGGCTTTCGGGGTGAGTTAAGCCCCCCTACGCGTTATGCCCGCCCGCTTGTTGCAGACCTTCGGGTGCAAAAGTCCAGGATGGCCTATTGGCCGAAGCGACGGATGATGCAGTCGCTTCGTGTGTTTTTTGCCAGCTGCCATCCCCCAAAAATTGCAGTCGCTCTCTCTTTGCTTTGCTTTCCTGCTAAGGGTTAAGGCGTTCCCACGCGGGGGCATCTTGAGCGGCGCAGTCCAGATCGGATGGCTGCACTGCTGATCGCACGATTCGGATGCTGTAAAGGTGTTCCTCCCCTTTTCCGAGGCTCGACAAGCTCAGGCCGTGGCTGCACTTCCACCATCTGAAAGTCGAGGCTCGGTCGCTCTGCTTTGCCATTTATCGACTCTGTTTAACAGTGGTGGCTTTGGACCTCGTCTTCGAAAGACCCCACAACACCCCTACACAGTGCAGGCAAAAAGAGCCTTCGAGCAAGACCACCGGCCGGTCCATTCCGGCCGCAGCTCCTCGCGAAGCTCAGAGCTCTCTTCCTTGGAGTCTCTGCTCTCTGCAGGCCCTTTCTTGAGCTCCTCCGATTTTGACCACCTGGTGAAAGTAGGCCTCCGCCTCAACAAAGAAGGAATTGCTCCGCACGCAGAGCCCGCACTTCCCCCACGGTGGGGCGCCCGAACCGGACCGTTCTTTTCAAGTGGTCCTTGCCTGGCGCGTGACGCGCAGGAGGCCATCCAGATCCCCATCCTGAAAGGCACAGCCGTCCAAGCTGCGAGCTGCCGGTCCAGCGTCTGCGCCCAAGGCACTAGAGTCAACGTGGGCGGCAGCTTCGTAGAGTTACGGTACCTTGCGAGCCCGGCAAGCTCTGAAGCATTCCTGCCTGTTTCTCACATCGTTCCCCGCGCACTTGCGCAAGACCGTGCCCCCCGTCAGCACCAATGCATCCATCTTACCTGCAGCACAATGCAGCCCAAAGGCCGGCATGCGGCTACAGTGAGGCCCCGCCTTGTCCAGCACCTGCGACGTAAAACTGGCTGAAAACACCGCCAAGGCTATGGCCCATGATCACCTGAAGCACGAATAAAGCTGTGGCTCTGGCTTGCTGTCTGGTGCAATGCTGGTGCACCTTGTGGTCGGCCTTCATGCCGGCCTTCTCCATGTCTTTCAGCATGGCATCGACCTGCCAAGACTGGCCTTCATCACATGCCACTTGCCCAGAAGCTTGCATTGCCCTGGACCTTGCCGGCGAACTGGAACTCAACTAGGTCGAAAAGGTGCTGGGGAACGCCAACCCAAACCTGAGAAAAGGATCAAGAGGCACACCACGTTCTTGCGTCCGCCGTCGGTCAAATGAGCTCATGCGTCCGGGCGCCGGCCTTAAAGGGCGAGGCCTGCTGGATTGCCAAGCCCACGGGCTTGTATCCTTGAACAGGAGAGCTGGCACCCTGAGAAATGATCCTCGGTTTTAAAGGAGGCATAGATTGGGGCACAGGGCACCAATGCAATATCGCCCCCCACGCGAAGAAAGGATTTGCTGACCGAGCAGCAAGGCAACTTCCGGACCTGTGGCAAAGAGCAGGTGGGCTCAGAAAGCAGACTGCAATGAGCAGATTCAATCGCTTTATGGCAGTGATAAACAGTACAATTACACAAAAACGATGAAACACCGCCCCACGCTGGACTCTGCTCTGACGGAAGTGCCAGATCATCCAGGGGCTCTCCTGAGGCACTAGCCTTGCTTTCCCTCCAGCGGCGGCAAGTAGAAGCTGTCATCCGCACGTGCCAGTAGCAGCAGCCCAGAGACGAGAAGGAAGCGCATGGCTGGAGCTAAAGATCTATCAAGCTTGAGGCCTGCACGGCAAGAGGCGTTTTGGAAATTTAGTCAAAGCCTGTAGCAGGTGGGTCGCTCTGAGTCCTTCCCTTTCTTTTTGAGTGAATGTCGGGAGTACCCTGTACGCCCAGTCCTGCGGCTCACTTAGGAAATCGCAGCCGCAGAATCCACTGCAGAGCCCAGCGCAGCAGATGTACGGCTCGCCGGTTAGATCCTGAGCCAAGATAAAGGCGCGCTTCTTCACGATACCCACGCTGATGCCATGGAGCTGAGGAAGAGGCAAGCAGCTCACTGCGCTGCTGGTACGCCGCACCTGAAACACACGGAGCGCACTGGCACGCTGAACCTCTCGTGACTCTCGGGCACGATCCCGTTCCAGCCAAGCTGCACGGAATGCAAATGCAGCCTTGGGAAAATCTTTGGGAAACCACGCGGCTGCTAGACAGGGTAGCACTGGCACTGGCATGGCTACACACTCGGTTCCCTGCCGTAGCAGAAAGAGAGCGGAGCCTGGAGCACAAGCGCGAGTTGCACTGCATAGTTGCACAGACGTGCCACGATCGAAGTCCGCTCGCTACCGGACCCTGCCGGGCCTGACAAGGGGCCTGGAACATCTCTGTCTTCCAGTGGCCCTGGCATGCTTGCACCAGTTCCTGCGATGCATCTGAAGGCGAGACTGCCCCTGCACTTTACCGTTCCAAAGCCCTTCATACTCAAATTTCTGTATGCCCTTACATAGGTACATACATACGTACATGCATGCATGCATGAAAAACATGCATACATAGAATGTGATGTACATATTATATATATATATATATGGCTGTATATTTATATATATTATATTATAGTATATTATATATTATTAACTATTATTATTTTTTATTCTTATTACTATTATTACTATTACTATTATTATTATTAAAACTTTTATTAATAATATATATATATATATATATGTATAATATATATATATATATATATATGACATGTGCGGACGTCCTGCTTCACAGGCATGTTGATTGACCGGCTTCGCCTTGGTTGCGAAACTCCTCGTGCACAGACAAAACATACACGAAGCAGTCGTCGGTACGTCTCTTACAGCCCCGGCATTCCCAGCACTCCCCCGTCCCTATGACCGTGACGGCTGCGAGATATCGGCCAGGCAGCAGCAACTTCAGGCCGAAAGAAAGACTCACAAAGCAGGACAACAACTAAGCACAACCATACAAGATCCCTTAGGCAGGCATGCTGCAGCACGAGGCCCCTGCTACCTGCTACGGCGCCGCCGGCAACTCTCCCTCGACTCTACACTACTATGCGTCTTGGTGCCAAAACGGCGGCAGAGATGAAGGCTGTGACACATGGGACACTCTTCTCGCGTAGATCTGCAGTGGCTACGGAGAACTCTGAGAGCATCCACGGACGATTGGAAGCATCAATAGTTAGCCTTGACTGTTAAACCTCATTCCGACATTTGCAATCCACCTGCACTGGCGTGGTGGATGTGCTGATTGTCGTGGCCGGGACAACCTCGCAAAAACTCGTTACCAACCTGTCTCTCTGCAATTAGAGGGATACTGTGAAGCGGCAACCGAGACGGTCAAACCAATCCCGTTCACAAGGTCTCAAGCTTGTGGCATGCTTGTGAGCGGCCGTTTTCACGTCCTGAATTTCCCTCATAGGTTTCCGATGCTTGGTTGCGGGGCTCCGTCATGCTCCGTCATCCGTGGCCGCTGTTGCCGGGAAATCCAGAGTATCGGGAAGCCAGGTCGTCGGCCCCTAAAAACCAAAGCGTCATTTCCCTCCCTTCAGGACTTTGCGATGACACGGTGGGGTCATACCAGGATTCGAGCGACAACACTAACTCAGACTTATCGCTCCCTACAGCCCTGCAGCCTGCGGTGTCTCTGAGACCGTCCGAATCGGAGATACTGCTGCTGGCGTTGCCACCGGCGTGACGGCAGAAGTTACCTGGGAGAGAGTTTGGACCAGTGGCTTTGAGCTTTCCATGCAATACTCTGGCTGTGGATCAGTTGCAGGCAGAGATACCGGCAGGGAGACATGGGTCGACGCTCTGAGATGCCAGCAGACGTGATGTCCTTGTCGTCCACATTCTCTGAGTCTTTGTTTGAAGGGCTCGCCCCTCAGTCCCGCATGCGGAATGACGAAGCAGTATTCCTCCTACTCCCTGGCTACATGATTCCTGGCTGCTTTGTCCTCCACTCCGTCTAGGTGCTACGGGTATGCGGAGACCTGACGAGCACACCCGCCTCCGTCGTTGACCCTGACATCATCTCGGCTGCCTCATCACGCAGTGTCCGCTCTCATGCTGCTATAAACTTGCAGGTTGAATTTCATGTGCAAACCACTCAGCATCATCAGCCATCTGGACCGATCTCTTAAGGCACGAAACAACAAACATCCCAAAGCCACAAACGGGCAGAATAGATAAGATTGCTGCCATCGTCCGTGCTTCGGTTCCCCTCAGCGCTGCCTCTGCTGGCACTCCGATCTTCCACGACATGCATTCAGCTCCGAAGAGGCTTAGACGAGAATGCGATCTGGCTTCCTCAAAGAGTGGGCATCTACGACGAGCGAAACCCTGCAGAGCTCCTGCGGGCACCGCGACATCTTCTGGAGCTGCGTCTTTGTCAGCTAAAGCTTTTCCTGCGACGGGCTACCCTTCCACTGTCCGCTACAGGCACGAATCTTTGGTCAGAGTCCCACTGCCTCAGACCAGCTGCTGGCTCAAGGCCCAATCGAGAGCAGTAACAAATATCACCAAACCGAAGGAGTCTGCTGCCTTCGCTGATGGCTCGCATGTCAGCTTTGCCTGTCTTCGACAAAGTACGGCAGCCATTTTGCCAATGACGATGTGCAGACTGCCTTTAACCTGCCTCACGGTCTGCTCGAGATCTACACAGCACTATGTGAGCTATGTGGCTGGACCTTCAGATGACAGTCTTCCGGTTGACTCACCTGAGGCGATCCCCAGCACTCGATCGTCGCTAACACGATGGGCGGCGGCCAGCAGAAATCGACCACAGAAAGCTCCGGCTCAGCTGGAATGCTCTGACGACAAGCAAGCGGTACACAACGCAAATAGTCAGCCTTCCTCGATGCCCTTGGAGAGATCCGGCCGACCTCGCTGGGCGGAGGCATTACTTGCTGTTGATTGCTGGTGCGTGCGGTGTCTGAGGCTGGAGCCGCTTTCCGTCGCAACTTTGGCAACGTCCCGCTCTGGCCTCAACCTGCCTCCGATGCAGCACTAAAAGTAAAGACCCAGATCTCCAAGGAAGGAAACGACAATGGAGATGCCTTCGTCGACGCTCTTGCTGACGTCGACGCGCCCTGCATAACCACAACACCACCTTCTTAAAATGCGAGAGTCAATATCCCAGGTCCTAGGCCCTAGGTGGTAGCCATCCTAGCCACCCGGCCCGAGCGCCTTCCACACTTCTGGACATGTCGGTCTTGCCTCCCATCGGTGTTCATGTTGAGCCTACAGGTGCCCTCCGTCCGTAGTCCGCAGACAAAGAAGCCTCCCAAAGCTTGTCCCGCTGGTCGCCGTGGCGGGGAGCCGCCGGGCCTGAAGTCGAGAGATGCCCCAGAGCTGCGCCAGGCTGAAGATCGCAAGAGCATGAGCCTGTGAAGAGGTCGCGGGGTTCCGTAGCGGACGTTGAAGCCAAGATCCTGGGTGCGCGGGCCGGCTCGATCTGTCACAAGAGTTTGGCCGCTGCACTCCTCCACAGCTGTTCTGCCGCCAGATTCTTCCACGAGGGCATGGTAGCCTCGGAGATACAGCACAATTTTGATGGTCTGCCTGTCGTGCAGCATTGGCATGAAGCTCTCTCTCAGCGAGTGCCTAAGCCTCGAACGCTCTCGCGTAGACATCACTCTGTTGCGAAGTTCCTGGCTTCCCGGGCTTTGTCTCAGCTGAATATCTTTGCAGTTCGTCTTCGCACCACAAGCTATGAGCGAGGGCAAGCTGTGTTGGCTCAATCGTCAAACTAAACGAGGCAGAACCTGCACCTCATTCTCCTTCTGCTGCAGCCTGAGTTGGATGGCAGCACACCACGAGACGGCCACGACTGTCTGCATTGTCCGTGGTCCGACTTTTTCTTGCTGCCGCTTTGGACCTGGGCTTCACTCCGGGTCCAAACCTGAGCCCAGGCAGGCAGTTAGAAACGCGGCTGCGCTTACTGTAAGGGTCCTTGCTTCCAGGCAGCAGGAAAAGGAGAACTTTGGCCCATAGCTCCATAGGCAAGCTCCACCAGGCCTCCAGTACAAAGGCCCGCTAATCGGACAGACTTTGACGACCACCGATACTCAGGAAAATAGCATGCGCTCCTCCGTCTCCAATCATCGGTCCTCCCCCACCCGGCCCCCACCCCCGCCGTCGCATCTCAGCCGGGACGCCTTGGGCCGGAGCAGCCGCTCCTGGCGTCGGCGCTCCCTCGCGCTGCACCTGCAAAACCGAGGAGCAGAAGATGAAGGGATTGAAGCGAAATGAAGAGAAGAAAGAGAAGGCAAGGGGGAAGGAAGGAATGAAGGAATGAAGGGGCAGATCCGGGCCGAGAGAAGGGGGAAGCCAAGCCATCTCTATTTCCGCCCGGCCGCGTGGCTACGAGCTGGCCGGCATCTTCACCCTCGAGGATGTAGAGCCGCCTGGCATTGAAAACTGCAGGATGTGAGATTTCAAGTTGTGTCTTTTTCACGCCTTTTTCACGCCCCCAGGCCTTACATCCGCTGGCAACAGCATGTGAAGCCGCTGCTGCAAGGGACCACCACCGAGAGCGCTCGGGGACACCACGGACTCGGAGGCCGCGATGCGAGGGAGAAGTTTCCTTGACAAAAGGCAAGGCCGTCTAGCTTTGCAACGCAAGGGAAACATCTTAGCTGAACACAAAGACACCAAGTGCGATATGCTGAAGACTCTCTAAGCATCTGCAGCGGCCCGCTTTCAATACGGAGACTGGGGCAGTCTGAAACGCCCGTTTTGGGCTCGAGTGCTCCCACCAAGTAGTTTGCACCAGTTGTCAGGCCAAATATTTTTCCTTGATGTGCATCCACCACTGAGCAATGGCTCAGAAAGCAAGGCATTTCACCTGGAAGCCATTCATCGACAGCCTCCTCAGAGGAGCCGCGCTTGTACCTAGTGCTTGCGAACCAGAAACACGACTCACCCGGGCTTGCGAAATCATGCCGGACCCAATTTCAAACTGATGGCCTTACGTTCGCACGTGTTAGGGCCGCTTTACAGGACGAGATGCCAGGTACATACCCGATTTCCGTAGGCCTCTCGTCATCTCCAGTCCACGCGACACCATGTCCATTGTTCATGATGATTTTGGTTTGGGGATACACACATCTCTGCTGCATAGCAGGGGGCTGCAGCAATCGAACTCGAACCCTACATCACAAAACCTGGCTGGTTGAACTTGCTCTCCGCCGTCTTGAGAACAAAATGCCTAGTATGATGTTTCGACAACGGTGAGCCTCGGGATGCACCCGAAATTGAAAACGACAGGCGACCTAGCTTCACTTGAGAAGTCGGACATCCCTGGATGGTTCATCTGTACATCTTGGAACCTCTGTCGTCGGAGAGCGGGACTCTTTGTCTGCTTATGGTAAGTTCTTCAACTAGCTATGACCAACCAGAATCAAGTCTGTGCTGCCGGAGGTGCGTCAAAGGCTGCCAGATCGCAGTTCCAGAAAACCAATCTATCGTCGCAATATGTCCGTCCACGACCGGCTCTCGCCGGTTGTGCCCGCCCAGAACCAGCAGCATGGAAGCAACAAAGGCCACGACCACCTGCCGCCTGGGAAGTTCGTTTGCAGGCGTCGAGATTTCCGTCCAAGTCTCGCCCACGTCCGACGAAATCCAACAGTCCCAGTGCTCGGGAGCCGAGTTCCAGCCTCCGCCGACCAACACCACCTGCAAAGCCGCACTTCTGGAGGAAACACAAAAGCGGTAAAAAGTGTGCCTGCTGCGGCTTGCCGGGACTTGCGGCCAGTCCAGGGCTGGCGCGGCGGCCGAAGGGACCGATCTCACACGTGCGGACGAAGCTGCGGCCAAAGTCTTCCGAGACCTGGGCTTGGGGCTCGAGCAGCCTGAGGGCACCAGAGCATGGACAGACAAGACGCTCTTTAAGCAAAGACGCCCAGACGTCTTCCATCGGGCGTGCCGGCCCCAGCCCACATGCGATGTAGACAAGTCCCTGCATGGAGCCTTCTCAGGGGTTGCCCAGCATCGAAGATGGGCTAGGTCCACACATCAGGCCTGCGACACATCCAGCAGCTGCCCCAAAGGCTTCCCTGGGCAGGATTGAAGACATCGTGGCATGTCGTCTGACATGAGAGGGCATGCTGATCAAACTCGGGCCGCACCTGCCGCACCATTTTCCTGGGAAGCTAAGCCCACGAATGTAAGTTCGATTGTTGTCTCGAACGTGTGCCTCCGTTGCCTCAGGTTCTTTGCGAATGCACAGGCATGCTCACTAGTGCTTGTTTTGTAGGCATTGCTTGTTGTTTTGGCTTATCGGTCGCTCTGAAGAGTCACTCTGATTGGTGCGTTCCGAGCATACAATCATTTCGGATTTTTTGGGATTTGCGGGCCACGCCGAATTCCAGGTCGATTGCCACCCACGCAGCCCTTTCACTCGTGTTTGTGTGGCTTAGGGTTGCCACTGGCCACTCCCCACTCGACTTGAGCATTGACTCCACGCCCGTGTTCTTCCCCTTTCACCTACATGGCAACTTCTTTCTTCCTAATGCCCTTTTCCGACACAGGGCGTGGGGGATGTGCGAAATCCCCCGGCCACCAGGCATTGTGTTATAGCGCTTTGAAGAGATTGCGAAATCATTCTGATCCACACGCTTAGACGAAGCTTATATTCAGTGTGCTTCCCTCTTGCTTGCTTGCTTTCTGGGCGACTGGACTTGGGGGTGGAGGAAGTGCTGGGCAAGGGACAAGAAGGAAGTCCGGGTAAAGGACCTAGTAGAGGAAAAGCCGCTGGACCCGCGCCGCTGTGAACTGGGGTCTAAGCGACTTTTGGTGCAAACACTGGGCCTTCCACGACACTTACTTCTGGCGGCTGGGTTGCGTAGCGTCGGATCAGAAAGCAGTCGGTCGGGCTAGCAACAGGGTAGAAGGAGTGCCTCTTTGCTTGGGGTATAGGACGTGCCTCTCTCTCTCACTCATTGGCTGCTTTTTCCATCATACTACCACTACTACTACTACTACTACTACTACTACTACTACTACTACTACTACTACTACTCCTGCTGCTGCTGCTGCTACTACTACTACTACTACTACTGACTACTACTAACGCTACTTCCTACTTACAAATTACTTCTTGTTTTTCACTACCTACTACTTACCACTTACCACTTGCTACTTACCGTTACATTACTTGCCGCCCACTATTCACTACGCAATACTCACTACTTACTACTTACTACTCACTACTCACTACGCACGACTCATCACATACTGCTTGCTGCTTACTACTGACTACTTACTACTTGCTACATACTTACTTCTTGAGTCTTACTACGTACTTGCTTTTTACTACTTACCTACTTCTTACGACTTACCACTCACTAACGCAAACCTTCTTCCAAGTAGCTTCGAACGGTGATTCCGCCTTCTTGCGACCTGCCTTCTTCGTGGGCCGAGACCTCCTCGCGCGGCACACGATCGCATGCTTTGCGCAGAAAGACCAGGAGTTCCGCACACTCCTTCCCGCATTAAACCCAATCAAGCAGTAGAAACATGCAGAAGCTCAAAAAGCTACTGCTAAAAAGCCAAGCATGCGGACGGAAGCCAACCCGTTGGACCTTGTTCAAAATCCATGTGCAATGATTCGTCGGCCGGCGGCAATGATCTCAGAACCCCTTTTTCAGAGCATCGCAGATTCACGGATCCCTTATGAGGTTACGACGAAAACGGATCAGCCTCCCAGTGAAGCCCATCGTCGGTGCTGCCTCCGGCGCTCTAGCCACAACACCGTACATAGGCTTCCTGAAAAATTGCTGGCAAGGCACGCCACACGTCGTTCTGGTAGTGCCTGAAGTCGTCGAAACATCACTCTAACGGCAGTGCTTTTCAAATCGAGAAAGCAACACGCTGTTGCACATAGCATGTCAGGCAATGGCTTACAATAGCACTACATAGCCCTTCTATACCGACTTGCATTCGTCTATGCTGCAGTGTTGCTATGACGAATCATGCCCCAGGGGCTCTCCTTTGCGACCGCCCAGCACCAGCAGCAAGGCCTTCCACATCCCGATTGATCGTAGGCGCGCGACAAGGCACAGCCGCGGTGACTTGCCGGCCTTGCTGCGTGCCGACACTGCCACAGCGCGGAAGTTACGCCGGCCGAGGAGGAAGGCTGGGCCTGGCAAGAAGAGCTCCGCAGCCTGGATTACGGTCAATATTGCTCGCAGAATGTTCATGACTGCTCTCAGCCTATCATCAGCTGTCAGATGCAATGTGACCTCTATCTGCATGCAGGATGCTTTGTACATGGAGCCCAGGAGAAACAGTCTGCACGCATCAGCCAAACATGACAGCCAAACCATGGTCAGTGCTGAAATCCTCCGCGCCTCCTTGTGCTTGTCGTGGCTCAGCACGGCCAAGCCAAAGCTCGTCGCCAAATCGGGTCCCGGCCATGTGAATGCATTGGCTGGGGACTCTCTAGGAGTGCCGCAAGTATGCGCCGGTTTGAGTAGGTAATTACTCGGGCGGGCAGAACGACGTGCACAGATCGGTACAGGGTTCATGGACAGTCCTTCTCCTAGGATGGCCTGCTCGAGCACACTGGACAGAGTCAGAAAACAGCTAGGAAGAAACTCTTGGGGATAAGCGTGCTTGTTGTCGGTAGAAACACATTTAAGCAAATCCCTCCAAGTCGGCCGTGGCTTGGCCACACCTTGGACCTCAAGACTTGAACGTAACAGATACCCTAAACCATAGGCCCGTGACAAACCGCAGGCTGTGGCAATGCCAACAATTGTTCAAAGACTTCCAACCCTTCCTTTCGAGACCGCCGACCTCTGCTTGCAGCCGTTTGGAAGCGGCTGTCCAGGTGGTAAATTTGACGAAACAAATGCGACAAACCTCTGCAACACTAAGAACTATGTGTGTGTGTGACATGACGATGTCACGAGGTTGTGTTGCAGGTCTATTTCGGGAGCGGCTGTGCTGGAGAAACACGGGCTTAAGAAGGAGTGAATTTCAGCTGGCACAAATCGCGGATCTGCTGGACGACATGCATCCAAAACGTCACACGAGACCATCAGATTGAAGCTGTGCAGATCTGAATGAATCACTCATTGAAACTGGGCGCACCGCTTATTGCCCAGGCTTTCTATGGACGGTGCCGCTAAAGCAACCTGAGGTGCAACGAGATTGCAATACAAGTCACATGCCATGCAGAAGCAGCAAAACTGTCGGCATGATCCTATGGACCATACGATCCCTAACCCGCCAAACAATGCTTGCAATCATACGTGCCAGGCACCGAACAAGTTTCGAAGTAGCATGTCCAAGTGCTTCGAACCGACATGAGAGTAGCTGATTAGCAGCGTACGTCGAAACAACTCTTGCGATCCATGTGACAACTTAGATTCAGACAGACCTTCTTCACCCAGCTTAAGCCCAAATCTCAAACCCAAGGTCGAACCTCGGTGAAACGTCACGATAAACCTACACTCAGCTGGGGGAGCAACCGGGGCTTCTGCCTGCAGCAATGCGGAACGGTTGCCAGACATCCATATAACACCAACTAAAAATTACAGCCGGGCAAAGCTCTTCAGTTTGGATGCATGTTTGAGCTAGTTTGAGGCAGCGCAGTGGTTTGTTCTTACAGAATGGCCAGGGTCTAGGCCGAAGACTCCGAGTGGACCTCTTGGAAGGGAGGGTGAACCTCCTGTCAGGTCTGACTAAAGGATCCTGAGGTATGCCAGTGGCGGCCTCGAAGGATACTATTGTGCGCATAACATGTCCTGGGCAATCCAACAAAGAAAGCCTGGCGCTAGGTAGGCAGGTAGGCAAGCAGGTGGGCAGGTAGGCAAGTAGGTAAGTAGGTAGCTAGCTGGGTAGCTAGGTAGGTAGGCAGGCAGGCAGGCAGGCAGGCAGGTAAGTAGGTAGCTAGCTGGGTCAGGCAGGCAGGTAGGTAGGTAGGTAGGTAGGTAGGTAGGTAGGCAGTCAGGGAGGTTGGTCGGTCGGTATGTATGTAGGATGTGTGTTTGTGAGTAAGTCAGTAAGTAAGTAAGTAAGTAAGTAAGTAAGTAAGTAAGTAAGTAGGTAGGTATGTAAGCAAGCAAGGAAGGAAGGAAGCAAGGACGTATGTGAGCAAGTAAGTCAGTGAGGAAGTAACGAAGCAAGCAGCAAGCAAGCAAGCAAAGCAAGGCAAGGCAAAGCAAAGCAAGCAAAGCAAGCACGCAAGTGCGCGCGTGCGTGCTTCTGCCCTCGCCTTCAAGGCACCAGCCTGCGAACCAAACACTTGATCCTGCCTTCAAGGCATCTCGCTCGCGACGCAAAAGGGCCTTGGCAGTATGCTGAGTTGAGGGAACATCGTGTGCTCTGAAACCACTTTGCAGCGCATGTGAAGTTGCTCAGCATCGACCCTGCAAAGCCAAGTCTCCAGCAACCTCGCGCTCGAAAGATCCGAGCTCTCTTTGCACCTCAGCGCTGCGACAGGGAAGCCACCAGAAGGTCTTGGAGTCTTAGGCTCTTGGTCGCGTAGTGTCAGGTTCATGGCTGATTCGTCCATGGAAGAACTGACGAAACCGAGTCACACGCCTTTTGCACCGCATGCGTCTGGGCCTCTTCCACCACAGGGTCCGATCTTTCTCCGTCCCGATAGCTGGTTTTATTATGCCAGTACACACGCCTGTGACTCTGTGACAGATGCACAAAGCTGCGCATTCAAGTTTTCCTTTGCGACGCACACTTTGCAGGCGGCATCGAAGATGCACATAAACGCAAGTTGCAGAAAAACGGGCAAGCAATGAGCACAGGCAAACGCTCGTAGCTTCGGACGGAAATAGCTACCTGCTGCTCAAGATCTTCCACCAACATCTGTAATTTCCGTCGATGCCTCTACGGCCAGTCTGCACAGCTTACAAAGGCTTGCCCTGCCGTAAATTACAGGAAGCTGTTGAATTTGACTGGTCAGTCCTCGCACTGCGCGAGTGACCAGAATGCAAGCTTCTGCAGGCAGACAGAGGACTACGTCAGCTTCCGGAAAACTTTAGCATCATCTGGCTTGACAGCCTGCTGTTGATGTCGCTCCCAGGTCTCTCTGCAGTGATTCGCGGGTGAGGATGCTGCACGCAACAGTTGCTGGCAGCTCAGCCCATCCACAGCTGTGTGTTTACGGTACTGGTGCAACTGCGACGGTTTTAGGAGACAAGCTGCCAGTTAAAAAAAAACGAAGATGCATCCAATTCCTCGTGTTGAGACTCTTGTTGGAAGATCACTGGCTTCGGGCGACTGGTGCCAAAGGGTCAACTATTGGTCTACAGTAAGATTCCCCGACCCGAGCAATCCTTGACACAAGACTCTGGAACTCCAGAAAAGTGGCATACATAGGGAAGAGCATCCTTCAGACGCCGGGCCAGCACTCTGTGTTTCAATGGATTTGGCATTCCTTGGGGATCTGATGGTCATCTGGGCCTCCGAAAACTTCCGATCTATCTTACACGTTGCCCCAGCAGGATAAGCTGCTCTACAATGACGATCACAGATAGTTCTGGTCCAAAGGTGGCTTCTGCAGCCGGCAACGCTCTACTTCTCTAAACACACATATTACATGTGTATATATATATATATATACAATATGTGTGTACACACATATAAATATAGTTATGTATGTGCTTATATATATATATACTTCTATGTGTGTTATGTAAGCAATGCTATACAATGAGTCTTGTATGTCTATGCTGTCCGCCCTTCTCATGCGTACACCGTTTCCCTGTTTGTATGCGTCCTTACTACATTCGTCATTTATGCTGTACCTGATACGACCTGCAGCTGTGTGATGGCAACGACTCAGATGAGGTCGCACACTGGGTACATGTAGTACGTGATTGGGACTCACAGCAATACTTGCTACTAAGTTGAAACTCACAGAAGTTTGGGGAATTTGGTGGGATATCGGCAAACTCCAAATAGACCCAAATCCGAGACTCGTGCGGATGGATCTTCGCCAACATGGCTATATACCAATCCTCTAGTCCTGCTATTCCTCCGGCTGCTCCGGCTACCATGCTGTTGCTGCTGCTACTACGACGACGACTTCGGCTTACCGCTTCTACTGCTACTTCAGCTACTACTAGTCCTGCAACTCCTACTGCCTACTTGTAGCAGTTGTACAAAACCTGTATTCGTCAACGCTGAGACTGGCAGTCATGCGAATATTATGGTTGATCTACACATGACTCGCTAGTGATTGTCCAAATACGGTTGAAAGTACAAGTTGCTACAAAAAGCTGCTGCTGCAATTGGTGCTGCTCCCAGAAATATGCTTGAAGAATAATACGCAAAACATCATGACTACGGATCTGATTGAAGATGCTGGCTGCATCGCGAGTACTACTAAGTTTCGCCGAGTCGCAAAAACATGCTCTCCGACAGAATTCGTGGATACATGAGGGGGGAGTGCCCCTTTTGTGCATGTGTAGTGTATGTGTCTATCTATACATATCTAGTATATATATATATATATATACATGTCGGCATATGTAAGTGCATATGTACATATACACATAGACACATACATACATAGTATACGTACAAACATGGATACACATATCACATATGTCATGTATATATGTATATATATACATGCATAGATGTATGTGTAGATGTATTTTATATGTATGTATACATACCTACATTAATATATCTGTGCATGTATACATGTATACACCAAAGCAATACTTCTAGGCATCTGTACATGCTGTAAATATGTGTATGTATACATATATATATATATATATGTATATGAACGAACATATATAATTATATATATATATATACCACACACACACACGCCACACCAGTTTTCAACATATATACGCAAACATGTATCTATATATATATATGTATAGATAGATATAGTTATTTATTTATCTATATGTACAAATAATTACACGTACATATATGTGTACTATATGTACATGTTTATACATACAGAAACTTAAATAAAACAAATATAAGCCGAACATAGAATACCAATATCAACAAATATAGTTGTACATATACATATATATATATATAATTACACATACACACATACATATATATATATATATATATACGTATACACGCTAAGCAGTACTAATGATAATGATAACGATAGCAATCATAACCTTAACACTAATCATCCAGCACAGCATCAAGATTTGGCCTATCATCAACCCTCCAGCTGAAGAGCAAGAGCTCCGAGGATGTGTGCTCAAGACAGAAAGACCGAGGGGTCTGTGGCATGCAGTGGGTTAGGGGGTAGGGGTTAGGGGCAAAGATTAACTAGGTTTGTTGATAATCTTTCACAATCTTAATTCTCGTGCAACCGGTCCAAAAACTCTAGTACCACGTGGATTATCATCTTTGTTAATAACAACGGCAGCATTATCATCAAAACGAATATATGTTCCATTATTACCGCTGTTTTTTGTTAGTCCTTACAATAACAGCACGCTCTTTATCAGATCTTTTTAAATAAGGGAAATGTTTTAGCTCGAATGTTGGAGCATAAAGAAGCTATCATTTCAAATTTAAGTTGGGTATCTTTATTTTTAGGCTTCCATACCTCAGGTCTTTATGTTCATAACGATGTAAATCATGACAGTGATAATGATGATAATCATACTAATCAGGGTAATAGTAATGGTGGTGGTAATGGTAATAGTATGAGTGATGGTAATAAAATCTGTCTCATATAATCGCACTGAGCCTTTGCTTCATCTCGTGTTGCATGCAGTAGTAGAATATCAGGTCTCCAGTCCCCGGCATCTTAAATATTGCAAGCAGCCATTTTTTCGAGGGCTGGTCCAGCAACAGCAAAGGGTGACAGCATGCAACACACAAGGCAGGTGGCAGCTGAGTGGCACGACAGTTGTCCGACAATCTCTGTCGCTTCAATGTTGACCGAGTGTTGCCCCAAAGCACGCACTCTAAATCACCGCATGCATGACACAGAATGCTGGCTGCAAAAAATCCAGCGCTTTGCAGATCGCAAAGCACGCCTTGCACAATTCATTGGCACGAATTGCAGATACAGAGTTGGTATGGAACTTCCGGTTTAGCTGGCTTAAGACAGAACATTGCCCCACGTGCCCACAGAAAGGCCGTCGGAATATCGACAAAAGATCGCCAGCGCCCTTCTCAGGCAAAGCTCATGGCCTGATTGGGGACAGCCGAAGGTAAGCGTGCCGAAGAGTGTGAGGAGTGCGAATACGTCGACTCACATAGGCTTTCCACGTCATTGCACCCTTGATTTTCCTGACGTGGCGATTTATAGCTCAAGCAAGTCCAGCCTCTTAGTGGCGTGTCGATGCGATTTGCCGCCATTCCGACGCAGGCCCTCGCTGAAGGCTGAAGTTTCAGGCTTGCTTGCAGGCAAATTGCACATGGCCGGCCTTTTTGGTATTCTTTCGATTCGTTCTCACCTGACACGGGAAGGGTTATGAGGAGGGCCACTCTCTCGGCTTATTCGGCTTTTGCAGTCGCTCAAACACTGTCTTGCCCTCGACTTCCAACTCCTACGCTAGGGGCCTTCGGCCCCAGCGGCCACAACCGCGGCCCTGGCTCGAGCACATTTTGGAAAGGCGCCACCCTGATCCCTGCTGCGCTGCTCCGCGCCTGGCGCGCCTGGCGCGCCTGAGGCCTTTCTCCTGGCGGAGACTCGCTGCGACGCTGCACTCGCCACAGCCTCCGCTCCTGGGGCTGGGCGGCGCTGCCAAGCGCCGCAGCGCCGCGCTGCGCTTCTCCGCAGCTTTCTGCGCCGCGACCTCGCCGGACACACGGCCGCGGCATGTCGCGGCGACAGTGCATGATCAGAGTTTTGGATGCATCGCATTCATCAATCGCACGGGGGAAGGGAGGGAAGGAGCTTGTCGCCTGAGACCCTGTGGCCCGAACTTGCCTGCAACACTGCTATGCTGCTGCAGGCGAGAAACACGGTAAGTCTTGCACAAGGCACAGCTAATGATGCACGACAAGGCCGCCATGGAATGAGAAACGTCCGGTCAGAAGAGCCTGCCTCCTCAGTGAGCTGTCTGGCCCGTGCAATCGCCTCCTGACATCAGATCAAAGACCCGGCAGCTCGGGCTATCTCGGGCTATCATGGCTATCCTGGCACAGCAGCTTCGTTAGCCTCTCGTCCCTGCAAACCCGAATCGCGGCGGCAACAGGGCCGTCCTCCATGGACTGCGGCATCATGGCCACGTCCTTGCCGTCCTGGCGGCTGTTGATTGGATTCACGAGCATGGGCACCAGATCCGGGATGAAACCGGGCAGGCCTCGCCGCTCGCTGATGCGAATCGTCTCTACGAGATTCTCCCAAAGACGAAATGATATGGAGCCCATTCAAGTTAGGGCTCGACGACCTTATCATCCTGCCATGAGCCAGCAGGCAGCTTCGGCTTTTTCCCTGCGACAGTCGCAGTCGTGGCATCTTCCGCCGCCGTTTCTTCTGCCTGGCTTAAGTTGTGGGAAGCCAGAGCTGCAGCACCGACACACACCCCGAGCCCAGCTTCGGCTAAAGTGAAGCCAGGGATCATCCAGGAAACCGGCGCCAGGTAAGACGAAACGTCCCC